ACATATATATATATATATATATATATATATATATATATATATATATATATATATATAGATATATGTTATTTTATGTTATCTTTCCTTCCCCATTTATTGATTATCCCGAGTAAAGATAAGTTACAGAGAACAAGCAGCTGAAGGATTGTCAGGAGATAAGATATACATGGAGGATTGGGAATTTCACTAGTTTAAATGTATCCAAGATTTACTCTAGAATATTTGAGGTCAGCGGATGTAGATGGTATGTCTTGATACTGGAAACTATTTTCAATCTCGCAAATCCCAACGGTAGATGAGTTTATAATCTTACTTATGCAGGAGGTTAATCATTTACCCAAAAGGAAATGGTGGTGAACATTTGTCTGTGTTTCTTAATGTTGCTGATGAAGATAGCTTGCCAGATGGATGGAGTAGAACAGCCAAGTTCACTATGATTCTGGCGAACCAGACGAATAGCAAGATGTCTATCAAGAGAGGTAAGTACTGACGCATTCTCATTAGGATAATACTGGAAATATGGAATCATTTTCCTTTTACACCCATTAACTAGAGCGGGATAGATGTATTGGATGTCACGTCGTTCTGTGAACATGGAATTTATCAAGCCCCCATTTGTCTTCCATTAAAACAAAACTTTTAATTCAGGTAGTCATTTTCTACTATTCATTCACATAATAAAATATTTTACATGTAAACCTTAAACTTTTTCCCTAATTTTAAATCACGCATTCTTTAAAAAATCACTATTCAAAACATCATTTGTTTCTCAATAACAGCCATCAAACATGGGCTAACCAGTTTGGAATTCTGGAATTTTGTTTTAAGTTCAAAACTAATATTCTCTGTGGATCTTGGATGGGTAACTTGATGCCCACTTTGTTATTGATGCACATGTGTAAATGATTGGTTAATTCATGCAACAATTTTTGCACCCATTGTCAAGCAAAATGCGCGCACTTAGATGGAGAACACTAACATTTTATAATAGGCCTATAATCACGTCCTGGGTGCCAATTTCGAAACATTTTGTACTTAAGTTTCAATCTTCGACATATGAATGTTCTTTATCGTACAAGCCTGGAAATAGAAACTAAACAGAGCTTGGCTCTGTTTTCCACCCATGCAGAAGCACAATGCAAATTCGAAAAGGAGAAGAGTGAATGGGGCTACACCTCCTTTTTTCCTCTTAGTAAACTACATGATAAAAGTGGTGGTTATCTCGTTGATGGGACATGTGTGATTGAAGCTGAAGTGTCCGTGACTGATGTCTTCCCTGTTTCCACAGATGAAGTGAGTTTTTATTTTGATAAATTTGTTAGATCTCCACATCTCAAGACTTGATTCTTATCTTGATTTCTGGTTGATTGTTGCATTCAGCCTTCTGATTCTTCCGTTCCTAGCGATCAGAGCATGAATAAACTGAGTGATTTAGATAATGCGGAATCTATTTATATCAAGGCTGAATCCTTTCTCAAGTCAATATCAAAGGAACCAACTAGTTCAGTAGCCGATGCGGCATGTGCTGTGCCTTTGATTGAAGACATTGCAAGTTCAGCAAAAGAACGATTTGACGAGCTGATTTCATTTCCTTTAGATAATTTGGTTGATCCCAAGCACGAAACTGCAATGATAGAGTGTCTGCATATACTTGTCGACTACCTGTCTTTGTTCTCTGACAAACAGGCCAAAGAAATTATGAGGTTGAGAGCTCTTTTCCCAACAATTATACAAGAATGGAGGGACTCTGTTCAAGTTAAGGTCAGTTGCCAGAGTGTGTTATCTACTTTTGAGAAGACAGAGAATTTGCTCAAAGGTTCAGTCAAAACTGAAGAGGGAATAAAGACTAAGCTGGAAGAATTGAAGATCAGAGAACAGGAACTGAAAGCACAGTTGGAGGCGATTCAAAATGATAGCCAACAACTTGAGAAGGAAAGACTGGAAGTATCGAAGCAGACGCAGCATATTTATGCTCTTGCAGAGGAGCAGGCTGTCAAAATTAAAGGCAAAGAGATGGAATTGGCTGGTGCAGAGAACAGATTAGAGGATTTGAAATCTAACTGGGCTTCTGTTAAAACTGTGTCGTTTAAGCATGAGATTCTTGGCTCCCAACATTTATATTTTGGGGGGAGACAGTTCATTTGCTGTTTTCTTGCTGTTGTTACTGCTTTGGTGTGTTATCTAATAATATTGTGTAACTAGTTGTGCACTTCCACTGGAATTCTGAACTCTAGTTTTCAGAAAGCCATATGTTTCTTAGCTGCTTCATTTGTTACTCGTTGTATTCTGCATCTTTTGTTTGTCGTTTGTATTTTGCAGTTGAATGTAATAAACATATCATAATGTTGCTTTTAGTATCTTACCTACAACAAAAATGTAGATGCCGCCAACTAGACTTGCAAGTTGCAACTCGTGTATATATATGTGGTAGGCGATTAAGCTGCATGACTCTTAAGTGTTGAAATTTTTCTATGTAATTTGGTACTTTGAGGCGTGTCGTCCTCCTGAACTCATGTTAAATGTGTAGGACTGAACACAAGTATAGATAAAATCTTGGGTCTTTTTACTGATGTGAAGTTCATTTTAACGAACAAGAGAACATATTTTGAGGACGCTTGGTGCGAATTAAAATCTGATTTTAATTTAAGTTAAAATTAAACAATCAATATTAATTACATTTTTATAAGTTCTACAACTTTTCAATCACACATTTTAAAAATTTATATCACAATCTACTAAAAAATCTATTTTTAATCTTCACCAAACACCTTCTTTGCACACATAATAGAGATGAAGAAACTTGATAAAGTTCTTGGTCTTAAAGTTGCTTTTTAAAAAGCAGATTAAATGGTGGGCCTGGTGCATTCAGGGTTGTTGTCGAGCAGAAATTGAATGATTGAAGTTGTCTTTTATTTTTTTTTGCTCATTCTTTTTTTTCCTTATCATTATCACAAAAAATCCCATCAAACAAGCTCTGTACATTGATATGTTCACTCCTTGCTTTCTCGAGTAAAAGCCAAAAGGTGTCGAGAAAATGAATAGAAAAAACAACTGATATCTCAGTGCCACAGTACCCAAAGAAAAGACCTTTGGTGACGATCGTCTTTCTTCTTTGCCTTAGTTGAACAAATCCCTGTAGGTTTCAGAGTATTTTTTTCCCCTGCTTTACTATGGAGTGATTTTCTACTCAAATTTAGAATTTAGTTTTTTCTTCTCATCCGTTTAGCCAACTGAATTGTTCATCTCTTCTTGTGCAGTAAGAGATTGAGGAAAAAGCTAGTTCTGCTTTTTAAATATGGAAGGTAAAATGGTAAATTATTACTCAGTTTATTTTAACCATAAAGCAGTTAATTTCTCTTGCCTGAACTAATTGCTGGTTTCTAAATGAAATATGCTCTTCTTATGTTCCTTTTTTTTCTGCTTACTGGTATAGTTAAAGAAAAAAAGATTGAAGTAGTTGCAGAAAATAAGCCATTGAAGGATTATGAGAGGGCAAGACGTACATGGACGATTGGGAAATTCACTACTTTAAATGTATCAAAGTATGACAGTAATCCATTTGAGATCAATGGATATACATGGTATGCGGTGTTCATCAATGTTGGAAATTATTATTACTGTTACAAACCTCATGGTGCGGTGATTTCTACGTTCTTATTTCTGCAGGAGATTACTTCTTTTCCCAAAAGGAAATGGCGTCGAATATTTGTCTGTGTATCTTGGGGTTCCTGATTCAGATAGCTTACCAGAGCGGTGGACTAGAACAGCCAAGTATAGTATCGAGCTGATAAACCAGATGGATAGCACGAAAACTATCAAGAAAGGTACTTGCGTACACTCATTAGGATGATAATGAAACTTTGGAATCAATTTTCCATTTTACATTCTGTCACAAAGTCTTCTGAAGGCAAATTTTTAAATTTTCTTTGGAAGTTGAAGAATGAATAATTCTTGCTTAATGCAGAGTAATGGATGGTGCATCTGAAGGCTTCAGATTAGCATAATTTATGCCTTGTTACTCAAACATAATCCGAGTTACAATCTCTTTTATTCTATGTTGTGCTTCTTCATAGGTCTATACGCAGCAACTAAATAGAGTTGCTCTGTTTTTTCACCATGCAGAAATAATACACCAATTCAGTTCACAAGAAAGTTATTGTGGCTTCACCTCCTTTTTTCCTCTTAATAAATTACACGAAAGAAATAGTGGTTATCTTGTTAATGGCGGATGTGAAATTGAAGTGGAGATACATGTGATTCATGCTTCTCCAGTTTCCTCAGATAAAGTAAGTTCAGTTAAAAATTTGTTAGATAAAGGCTTTTCATGACCAGGTTCTTGTTTTGATTTCTAACTGATTTTTGCCTTCAGCCTTCTGATTCATCTGTCCCTGATGATCGGAGTGTGGGTAACTCCGTTGATCTAGATGTTGTGGAATCCATATACAGCAACGCCAAATCCTTCCTCATGTCAGTGTCAAAGGAATCAACCAGTGTAGTAACTGATGCTACGTGTGTAATGCATTCGACAAAAGACAACTGTGCACGTTTGGCAAAAGAACGGTTCAACGAGATGATTTCGTTGCCTTTAGATGATTTTGTCAATCCTGAGCACGAAACTTTAATGGTAGAGACTCTGTCTAAGCTTGGCGATCACCTGAATTTGTTCTCTGATGAACAGGCCAAAGAAATTATGAAGTTGAAAGCTGTTTTCCCGACATCTATACAGGAGTGGAGAGACTCGGTTCAAGTTAAGGTCAGTTGCCAACGGTTCTTGTCTACTTTTGAGAAGACAAAGAATTTGCTCGAAGGTTCAGTGAAAACTGAAGAGGGAATAAAGACTAAACTGGAACAGTTGAAGATCAGAGAACAGGAGCTGAAGGCACAGTTAGAGGCACTTCAAAATGACAGCCAACGACTTGTGAAGGAAAGACTGGAAGTATCGAAGCAGACGCAGAAAATTCATGCCCTTGCAGAGGAGCAGGCTGGCAAAGTTAAAGGCAAAGAGATAGAAATAGCTGGTGCAGAGAACAAATTAGAGGATTTAAAATCTATCTGGGCTTCCATTAAATCCCTCTTCACTGAAGCTTGAGATTTTCGGCTCCCAACTTGTATGTTTTGGTGGGGAGATAAGTGATTTGCTCTTTTGTCTGATGTCTAATTAACTTTCTGTAACTAGTTGTGTGCTTCGTTTGAAATTCTGAACTCGTACGTTTTTGCTCGTTTCTTAGGTAACTTTGTTTCACGGTCTAACTGTCCCCAGTCCCTTAAACCTTGAAGGACATGCTGATATCTAGCACTCGATCTTATCTTAGTTACAACCAACTATATTCGTGAGAATAATCCAAATGAACCATTTTCTTGATTGCAATCAAGCATTAATTCTCATTTAGTAAGACAATAAAACGAGTCTATCAATCCAACAATCTTGAACAAAAATAGAACAATTTCTCTGTTTGGCAATTATGTCATCTTGACACAATATATTGCTGTCTTAGCAATTCTTTGGCTAAGCTCTGAAGGTTTATTTCTGTATTTTTACTTACAAGTAAATAACTTCTTTATAAAGCAAAATGAAAACAAAAATTACTTATTTTTAAGTAGCTGTAAAATATATTTGAAATTATATAAGCAGGAACAGAGATACACTTGGGCAAGAGCAAAGTTTTTGAGGTCTAAAAGCCTGTTTGAGAATTATTTTTTTCCCCAAAAAAATTGATTTTTTGACGGTTATTTCACTATTTCAATCGTCATATTTGACTTCTTCTCTCACAGATGAATATCACTTTTCTCCTAACGATCAAAAAATCAATTCTCAAAATCACTTCCAAACAAGTTCTAATTGTATTTGTCCTTTTTTTTAAAGTAAACAAGGTAATTAAGTAAAAGTAAGTGGATGATGTTTACATTCAATTATTTCTGTCTTTTTGTATTTGTCCTTTTTTCCAGTAATTAACAGAGGTTTCTTAATGTCAAGGTAAATGCAGAAATATCTCTTTACTTTGTGTCGCTTTCTTTTGTTTTCTCAAATTGACATGCCCTGTTTTTTTGTATTATATAATTTTATTTGATCATTTGTATATTAATACACATTCTTGATTGCTAACCAAAATTGGTGATCGTCTTAGGGTCGGTTTTCTAGCTATATTCTTGAGGAAAAGACTAATTCTGCATTCAGATATTACGGGGCTCTATAAACATGGACGGTATACTAGTATATATTGTTGCATATTATTGGTTTTCCGGCTATCTATTTTCTTTCCATTTCTGATGTCTTTAGAAGAAGTATTAGTTTTGTTTCTGTGAGAACAATGCGAATCAGTGTGATGAAATTTTCCGAGTACTGTGCTGTGAGTCCTAGCTTTGTTTTCTCAATCATGATTTAAGTGCTTATTTTCAAGTACCAATTGCCACCAGGGCGAAGAACACTCTTTTTGTAGTTACAGTTTCTTCGTTAATTTGTGTTTTAAGTTTGTGTCTTGTTATGCTCTGATTAGACATGTGACCATGGACGTATCTTGGTTATTATTTTATCTTCTCCCATTTACTGGTTCTAGTGAAAGAAGAAAATGGTGAAGTTGCGAAAAATCAGCAATTGAAGGATCAGAATCTGGGAAAATTTACATGGAGGATTGAGAATTTCGCTGGTTCATATTCTTCAAAGCTTTATTCTGAGATATTTGAGGTCAATGGATGTAGATGGTATGCCTAAATATCGGATTATTTATTTATTTATTTATTTTGTTTAGCAAATTCCGTGGTGACGAACTCTTTATTTCTGCAGGAGGTTACTCCTGTACCCCAAAGGAAATGGTGTCGAGTATTTGTCTGTATATCTTGACGTTCCTGATTCACACAGCTTACCATATAGATGGATTAGAGCAGCCAAGTTCAGTATATCTCTAATAAACCAAAAGGATAGCAAAAAGACTATCAAGAAAGGTAAATATGTATACTGGAATTTTGTGATAGTCAATGGTGAAATCCTAGTCATGGTATCCACAGAAGAATCCAGGCGAACGAGTTTTGAGTTAGATAATGTAAAAATTTGGGCCCCCTAGAACCAGAAACTAAGGCGACTTGCCTCTGTTTTTCCACCTTGCAGGAACAGAACATGGATTCAATGCAAAAACCGGAAGTGATTGGGGCTACACCCAATTTTTTCCTATTATCAAATTGCATGATAAAAATTCCGGTTATCTTGTTGATGGTGTGTGTGTGATTGAAGCTGAAGTATGCCTCAGTGGCCCTTTTTGGGGTTCCACAGATAAAGTGAGTTTGATGAATAATTAAGTCAAGACTTTCGTGTTTCATCACCTGGTTCTAATTTTTATTTTTGATTGATTTTTGAGTTCAGCTTTCCGAGTCTTGTGTTCCTATTGATTTGAGTGAGAGTAAACCTGTTGATTTGGATGATGCGGAGTCTATTTATGTCAAGGCTAAATCTTTACTCAAGTCAACATCAAAGGCATCGACCAGCTCAGAATTCTGTGGTACAATGGCAGTGCCTCTTTTTCAGAAGGATGCAATTTTTGCCAAGGAAAGGTTTAATGAGCTGATTTTGTCTCCTTTAGATGATTTGGTTGATCCCACACACGAAACTGCTATGACAGAGACTCTGTCTATACTTGGCGGCAACCTTTCTTTGTTCTGTGACGAACAGGCGAAATAAATTATGAGGTTGAAAGATATTTTCCCAACAACTATACGGGACTGGAAAGACTCGGTTCAAGTTAAGGTCAGTTGTCAGCGTTTCTTATCTATTTTCGAGAAGACAAAGAATTTGCTCGAAGATTCAGTCAAAACTGAAGAGGGAATAAAGACTAAACTGGATGAGTTGAATACCAGAAAAAAGGAACTGGAGGCGCAGATAGAGGCGCTTGGAAATGAAAGCCAACGACTCGTAGAGGAACGACTAGAAGTATCAAAACAGACGCAACAATTTTATGCTCTTGCAGAGGAGCAGGCTGGCAAAATTGAAGGCAAAGAGCTAGAAATGGCTGGTGCAGATGTCAAATTAGGTGATTTGAAATCTAACTGGACCTCCATGGTATCTCTCTTCCATTAAGCTTGTAAGATTTGTCTCCCCATATATGTATTTGTGGGGGAGATAATTGATTTGCCTTGCTTGTGTTGATGCTTTAGTCACAATATGTAACTAATGTTGTTTGAGTTCTGTGCTTCTGTTTGGCACCAAAACTCGGTACTTTCATAAGAATAAGATACTCGTTTCTTAGGTAGGGCGGGCAAAACTCCCGAATCGAATCGAATTGAACCAAATGGTTCTTCTCAAGTCAAATACCAAAACGGGTATCTGAATCGAAAGTCGATGGGTTCGATTCAATTATCTATTCTAGATCAACAACCGAAAAAACAAATAAGAACCAAATTTTTTCTATTTTTTTTAATTTATTTATTTTAAATAACCCAAATTATTTTATTTTTTCCTAAATAAATTTGTTAACTAGTTAATTTAACTCAAATCAAAAAATATGATTTTCAGATTTCTAATTTTCAGTCCAAGCTCAACTTAATCAAATTGATCTAAGTTTTACCAAAATTTGTTATTGTACTGTAGTGTCGTTTCTACTGTTCTAAAGAAATTGAATTAAAGCTCAACAGTGCTTCTCTTAATTATTGTGAACTCGCTGTCTTCTTTTTCATGTGATTTTAACAATTAAAACTATGAAGAATTTAGTAAAGAAAGACGCAAAAGACATAAGATTGGACTACGTTAATTTGTAGAAGTTAAGATTGAATATGTCATTAATAGGATTAAAGTAACTTTGTAAATATTAAAAAATTTAATTATAGTACATAACTTAGGAACCAAACTGAATAGAACTCAACCTGAATGATTTCACTTACTAAATTCTCGAAAATTTCGAATTCGATTCGATTCTCTTTAGAGCCGAACCGAACCGAACCGAACCATACCCAATCCTATTCTTAGGTATGCTTTGGCACGAACGAGTTATTAACTCATTTCCTTGCACAACATTGATCTCATTTCATTTGTTACTCTTTCTAGGCCAAGTGGCGTTTGGTTGACTGTATCTCGATAAGTATGTCGCCAGTGGTTTTGGTTGATTTTTATTCCTAATAAGACGAAGTCACCTTAAAAAAGTCACACCCCCTCTCCCCCCGCGCCTCCGGTTACAGTTTTCGATTATGACATTATTTTTATATCCTCAATAGTAAATAAATAAAAATAAAAATGGAGGATTCCAAATTGTTCCAGAATTGTGGATGTCATGGTGTGTAACTTTTAAGTAGTATTAAATTCGTAGGATTAGTTTTAATAATCTATACCCGTAGTGTCGTTTTGACTTCTGAAATTTAATTTATTTCGGATTCATTGCTAAACTTCACTAGTTCTTTCGTTCATAAAAATCGAATGTCAAACTTAATTAGTGATTTGAATGAAATGTAATAATTTTTGAACTCTTGATATCGATTGATTGTGAAACACAATCTGCGACCTAATAGGACTAAGGCCCGTTTAGCAGGACTTTTAATTTTTTTAAAAGAGTTTAATACCAAATTATTTTACACAAATTTTCTTTAAAAGCTCTTCAAAGAGATTATTAATTTTGTGAATAGTAACCAACAAGATTTAATTTTTTTTTCTTTGTAATTTGTTGATATTCAACTCATAGGAGACATTTAGCTCTTGTTTGAGCCTTTTTTGAGTCAAAATGTATTTTAGAATAGTGTTTTGTTGGAGAATGTATAGTTAAAAAGTAAGAAAAAATTTTAAATTTATGTGTAAAATTATTTTATAAAAGAATGTATGATTGAAATAAGTTTTGAAAAAAATTAGGTAGTGGTTGGTTTACATTTTCATTTTCAAAACGATTTTTAGTTTTCCCTGAAAACGACTCGTTTTCCGTATTTTGAGCGTTTTCGACATTTATAACTAAAAACGATAAAAAGTCGTTTTGCGTTTTCAATTGTAAATTTTAACTCGTTTTCGAAAACGAAAAACGAAAAATGAGCCGAAAAAGGCAAACCAACCACAGCCTTAGTTTTTTTGAAAAATGGAGACCTAACAAAGGCTTAATAAAATGGTTGTATACTAATTGATTCAATAAATTTAAAATTCATAATCACTAATCAAAATATTAAAACCCTATTTGATAAAAATTAACAGTAAATTTTTTATTAAAGTCAAAATTAACAATTAATTTTAATCACATTTTTATGGAATTCACAAAATTTTAACCACACATTTCATCAACTTTTATCAAAATTTGCTAAACATCCAATTTTAAACTCCACTAAATAGGGCTAAAACAATAATATATTAATTTAATGCATCAATTATTAAGTTGAACGATGTCGTAGTGTATGAAAATGTAAATTTAAGAAAATTTTTAACCAACAATAGTTTATAATTAATGGTGCAGATTATTTTGCATGTACACATTACACTCAATAAGTAATTATTTTGCAGATCATACAACTTTATAAATAGATTATATTCATATTTTAAACAAAGAAATTAGGCAAGCTTCAACAGATGATCTAGGAGAAAAAGGTGCTCTTGGAAATCAAAGACGAAGGAAGAAATGAATTAGATAGCATGATTATCGAGTACCATCAGAGCACGTTTGGAGTAGAATTAAAAGAGGAAGAGATAAAAATAGTGGACGAGTTGGAAATTGAAAAAATCGTCTACGCAAGTTGTGCAGTAGTAAGTTATCATGTCATTTTATCTTGACAGAAACATTACAACGTGAAGTCTACGTACGTACTATGTATTGATTAACAAAACATTAAATGAGAGGATGCTCCATGGTCAATTGTTTCTATTGATGAGTTTTTCACGATAAATTCAAGGACCGAACGAGCTTCTCAAGGATTGATTATATAACCTTTTCTTTGGCAACGAGAAGAATGTAATTGTTAAAACAAGAGGACAGTCTATCACCAATTGTCTATATTGTTACAAATACAATTGAAAGCTTGTTACTCGCTACGTATGTTTACTGAATTTTCAAATTAGATTGTTTGTTCTATATAAAAAATCGGCTTCTAGCTGAATCCATTTTTTAGAATAATTTTTGTAAAATTATTATTATTTTTAGAACGTCTGAATTTATTAATAACTTTTTGCTGGCAAACGATGGATCTGGACTCTGGAGTTGATAAGAATGAAGATCCAGGGTTGAAAATTTTGCCAAGATTACTTGAAGGGGCTTCCTGCAAAAATCTTGCTTTTGCTAATAGTCAACTTTGGCTAGCCGCAAATTTCATATTTTTCGACTCCTTCAAAAACCATCACAGTGACAAGATCTTCAAGTACACCCAATATTCAATTGTTTGCCCCGAATCGTATATGAAATATTCAATTATTTACCAAAAAAAAAATAATGTTGCAACGTGCTAGAAAATAAATTCAATCCACCTACAAAAATGTTAAATTTTAGAACCCATTTTCACCCATAATCTGTACTTCGTAGAGAGAGAGAGGGGTGGGTCAAAATTGTAAAGGATAAGCCTGGGACTGCGTCAAGAGGGTGCATTAAATTGGAAGGCCAGAATCACAGGATATTCTGCCACCGTTTATTTTGCTGTTTCTGTACCACGCTTTCTATTAAGTCGCATTCATGTTACCACATAAAACGTCATCGACTAGTCATGTCCAATCAACCAATGCCGCGTAAATCGATGTTTAGTACCATTAAAATCAAATGATATTACTCATAAAGTTGTGATGTTAGCATTCAGCACTAGAAAGCCTTCAATCAGGGTTAGGACCTTCGAATCGAGCCATACCGGATCGTTAGATGGGCGAATAGATTCGTCCACTTTGACACCACTATCTTGAATTCACCTAGGGACATTGCTCCTGAGATACAACCAGATTCAGTACAGCAACCGAGTGGATCGAGGAAGAAGCCTTTCTCAATTTTATTTTTAGAGGGTGTTTGATAGTTATTTTTATGTAAAAACGTATTTTAGAATAGTAAATTGATGTGAAATGTGTGGTTGAAAAATAAGAAAAAATTTTGATTTACGTGTAATATTGTTTTAATAAATAATGTGTGGTTAAAAATAAGAGAGAAAAAAATACATTTTGAAAAAAAATAGCTATCAAACGGGACGTATTGAATAAGGAATCATATGATCATTGTCAATGGTTAATAAAACTACTTAGCGGTGATTAGGTAGTCAAATATATGTAGGGACCACAAGCTTTTTTTCCCAATGAAAACAGAGAATAATTATAAATCAATGAAGACTAGTCAAATAGATAAGGATTTGTTGCCACACCTTTATTTTCTTCTACAGGTTATTAACCAGCCTCGCACGTATTAATTAATTAATTAATACTCGTTTAACATACGGTTTCAATTAATTTTGAAATTTAATATTATAATATATTCAAATCTAAAATCAAATTGAAATTAGTCATCTTTTTCTCTCACACAAGCGCGAACGTTATTGTGTGTTTTGATTCTCCGAATTTATGTATACATTACAATTGCAGGTTAATGATCTTCGTACAGTTGAAGCGCTGATTACACCAAAGTCGACTCAGTAATTGCCAACAATGGCAGGGAAGATCGGGATAGAGTCGGCTTTGGCGGCGGCGTCTTTGACGCGTAGGCAACCGCTGCTGATTGCGTCAACAAAGATGAAGGAAGGAAGCAATCGGAACGACAAAACCGGAGGCCGTCGGGGAAGTAGAGTGGGGGAGACGGCGGGGGGGTGCGCCGCCTTGTGCTGCTGTTGTCCATGCGCCATGATGCACCTATTGTTCCTCGCGATATACAGGCTCCCCACGGGACTGTGTAAGAAGGCATGGAGAGAAAAGAAGAGGAAAAGATTACTCAAAAAGAAGAGGAAAAATTTTTCATTGGAGGAAAAGGAAAATCAACGAAATCGATCACATATGAATATGTTTGGATTCGATTCTGATTATGATGATGATGAACCCAAATCAGACGGTGAATATCATAGGAATAGTGGAAAAAACGACGCCGTTGATTGGGATAAGGAGATGTGGGAACAATTTTATGAAGCTGGATTTTGGAGAAGTGCTTCTCAGAGGGCTGAGATTGATTAATTGATTTTCTGTGCAGAAACACCTTAATTCACATATCCTCCAGTCCAGGTATGAAACTGAGTTCAAACAATTGATTTTCAACTTTTTGGATTGTGGATTCTCAAATCTACAACAATTAAGCAATCAAACCTTTGTAGAATTGAATGTGGAATCCATTGATTGAAGTAAAGAGGATACATTGCATTTAAGCCATGGAATTGTGGGTGTTGGAAAGATATTTGGAGTCGAAGATTTCATGGAGCAAGAAAAAATAACTTGGTGACGACTTTGTTTGTGGGTAATGGCGTGATTTTTCAATTTGCACTGGCATTCAGTTTCCAAGTGCATAGAAATTGAGCAATGCATTATTATTATTTTTTCTTTTTCTTTTTTACTTTTTGTCGGGGGAATCCGCAACCGCTACCCTTCGGGTGCACACTGGGTAAACCCTCGAACAGACGCAATAACCTGCAAACAACGCTAGTCATGTAAATCAAACTAGGCAAGATCTATGCAACAGGCTCGACCGGGAAAGTGTTAGTAGGGAGAATCGAACTCATGACCAAAAGCTTCCTCGCTAATGTACTCCACCAACTCGATCACTCCATTTGGGTCTTTTTTTGTACAGTGTCTTTATCGAATGTTAACTGATTCATATAGCAGAGTCATCGACTATAAATTCCTTAAGAATAAATTTTAATGTTAGTGTCTTGCAAATTGTGATGAATATGTTAGTTAGATTTGAGTTCTTAATGTATAATTGTTAAACATATGATTAATGAAGTGTTTACAACTTCGGCTTTCCTCCTTATTTTCCTTGCTACATTGCAGTTTCAAGGCATATAAAACATAGAAATCTTGACAAAGTCCCTTCCTCGAATCGAATTTGAGGGGAGATTTTGGGAGAGGATAGTCTTACCTGCAACCAATAAAATGCATCTCTTGCACAAATGGACATTAAGAATAGGTCGACATCTATAACTTGTTGGTTCAAGCCTAAAGGTGAAGCCAAGCTTTGGCTCAGCTCGAGCCAAAAAATTCGAGCCTTTTTTTTCTGTGGTCTTCGGCTCGGCCCGATTTGTTTACATTTCTAGGTGAAACACTAGAATATGTACTTTTAATTTAGTTAAAAAGTAGTATACATTAGTTTATAAAACTTAATGCACCTTCAATATTTATTATTAAATAATGATACTATTGCATAATAAAATGACGTGTTAATGTCATATATTCATCATTGCAATATTAGAAACACAAGATAAGTAAATTTAAACTATGTCAAACAAAATAAGTAAATATTCTTATAGTTTACTTTGGACAAATTAGCCCATGTTCGACCATCATTATTTTGAAACTTTTTTTTTTTTACTACATACTTATTTTCAATTACATATTTGGACAATAAAATATTCTACACATAAACCGAAAATTTGTTCATATATTTTAATCACACATTCTCTTAAAAATCACCATTTAAAACTCTATTTTATTCAAATAATGATTGTCAGACAGGGCCAAATTTGAATTAATCATATAAAATTTATTATTATTTTTCCTTGTTATATCTTAAGTATAATAACCTCATTTTAGATGATATATTAACTAAAAAGTGGTCACGAGGTATATGTCAATATCAAATCTAAAAATATTTTTGAAACATGGTACTCTATAATTGTCCTATTCATTTCTTCACATGCTGTTGGAGCACTTCCTTAGCTGGCAGGATTCTTTTATAGTGATAGGACATCCTGAAAATTGATGTATATCAAATCTTGTAATATAGTCTTTTAGAATTTCTGATTTTGCATATCCTCTATTAGATATCAGCATCCAATTTTCATATTGGCACAAGTACGAGAATTTTTTATCAAACAAATTTTTGACAATGTTGTAAATGACTTTAATTCCAAATGCTCTTCTATGTCTGATCCACGATTTTGTCACTGTTGGGACTTTTCTATTATTCTCTGTAACATCAACTTGGAAATTGACTGCAACATATCCAATTGAAAATATGTGTTCAACTGGATAGTAAACAATTTCATCATATTCTGGACTTATTGAATAGAATTTCAAAAATATTTTTCTTCCCCTGGCAAATCTAGATATTTCTTTAATGAATATATCATCAAAATTTGAAATTTCAATAAAGTCTTTTCCTGGATATATCAAATCCATGAATCCATAGTCTGACATAATTTTTATAAATGAAGGGTCATTTCCTTCCATGGCTGTTATTATGGGGTAAACATTATTTTCCGGAGAAATGAAATATGAATCACTCATTTTTATTTCATAAGCTATTCTGACTATATCGGCATATTTTTCTTCTTTTGGATCTAAAGAGATTTTATCTTCTTGGTCTATGATGCTGATTGTTTTGGTATCTCTTTTATCTCCATGTATCATAATTTTCTTGGTTGATGATACAGAAATGAAATCTCCTTTATTATCAGTTGGTATGTTGTCACGTCTGGGTCCACTGCTGCTTCCAGCTGTCTCTATTTGTTATTGATTTGGAAAACTCATTTCTGAGCTCTTTGGTGTATCTGTCTCAGACAGTATATTTTTTAATTGTGCTGCAACAGCATCAACTTGATTTTTGAGTTTTATGGCATATTTTTGATGCTCAGTAGTGATATTCAAGAGTATTTTTATATTTGAGTTGAACATCTCTGAGATTTGGGTTGCTCCAGAGTTTATATCTTCGAATTTTTCTCTAAGAAAATCTGTCTTTTTTTTTGGATATGTAGGATAGATTGATATAATTTCATGACCTTGTCTTTATCAATCAGCAAATTCTATGTTTCTGTTAAGAAAATCTGCAAGAAAATTATTAACTCCTTTAATATGGATTATATCGAAATTATAAAATGCTAAATAAGCTTGCCATCTATGGAGCCTTCTGTATTGAGGTTCTAATAGTAATTTATTCCTGACTAATCCTGCAACTTGAGAATTATCAGTTTCAACAATAAATTTTTTGGACAATAAGAATAATGAGAACTTTTTTATTCCTCTAATAATTGATAGTAATTCTTTCTCATGAGTAGTATAATTTATTTTTGCTTAGTTAAAAGTTCCACTTGAATATCTACAAATTTCATTTAGATCTGTTTTTAATATTGTTGTCCAATATTTATTTGAGGCATCAATATTAACAATCAAATTATCTTTTTCATCTGATAATCTTAATTTTTGTAAATTTTTGCATTCTTCTTTTAATGAATTAACTATTCCCGTATGTTCTTCATTCCATCCTTTAATATTTATTTTTCTAAGTAAAACTTGGATTTTATATCTTTTCTTAGAAAGATTTTCAATAAATCTTTCTGCATAGTTTAAACATCCTAAGAATTTTTGTATTTGTTCTTTGGATTCTAATTTATATGAAAAACTTTCTATCTTTTTGGATATATAAGTTTGTAATTTTATTCCTCTTTTATCTATTGATAATCCAAGAAAGTCTATCTCTTGTTTTTCTATTATAGATTTCTTTTTAGATAGTACAATTCCTTCTTTTTTACATTTGTTAATAAATTGAATTAAATGATTTCTATGTTCTTCTTTACTATTGGAACATATTAATATATCATCAATATAAACTATTAGAAATTCATTAAACTTTTTAAATATATTATCCATTTTTTTTATATATTTGTGGTGCATTTTTTAGATCAAATAGCATAACTAACCATTCATATTTTTCTTGAGGTGTGCTAAATACAGTATATTGTATACTATCTTCTTCCATTTTTATTTGTCAAAATCCTGATTTACAATCAAATTTAGAATAATATTGTTTTCCTCTTGCAAAATTTATTAGCATTTCTTTATTTGGTAGAAAGTAACCATCAAATTTAGTATATTTGTTTAATTCTTTATAATTTATAACAATTCTAGTTTTTCCTCTAACTTGTTCAGAATGTTTCATAACCATAAAGGCTGGACTACTATGAGGTCCATTACTAGGTCTAATAAGTTTTTGTTCTAACAATTCTTTTATCTGATTTTTAAATTCTTGTGTATCTTTTATAATATATATCATTGGTTTAACTCTTATTATAATATTTTCTGTTAATTTTATTTTAGCCTTTGGCTGATGTGGTTTCCAAAATAATAATGAATTTTCTCCATAAGTTTTTTATAGTTGTTCAATGATTTTTCTATATTTATTTCTATTCCTGTTTTTAGAACATTTTTATATAATATTCTTTTATTTTTTATTTCATTAAATACAATTAATTTTTTCTCCCATTTATCACCACGCTGGGCTGGCTGAACTCTGTAAGGTTTAAATTCTCTAAGAATTTTTAATAAGTGTCCGCAATGTGTTTGTAGTATTATCATATAATATTTTTGTTTATATTATTGAAATTGTTGTATGAAATCATTTTCTAATAATATATCACATTCTAATTTATCATATTTATAAATTTTATTTATTGTTACTAGTTTACTTCCAAAAATTATATTAACTTTATCAGCACTATTAATTATCTGAGTATTTTCTCCTGTAACTCCAGTTATTTTTATATTACTATTATTATTCCATGATTTTATTAAAAAACTTTTAAATATTGTTATATCACTTCCTGTATCAATTAAAGCACAAGTTGTTATATTTGTTTCTACAACAGTAATTTGTATATACACAGCTAATGAAAAACTTATCTGATTATTCATCTAATTCTTTTTGCATAATGTTTTTGTCCATTATGAACAATATATAATCCATCTCTTTTTATACTATAATCTTCTAATCTATTTAGAAAACTCATTCCTAAAAGTATATGAGGATTTATATCCATACTTTTATCTATGTAACATGGTACTAAATGATCTATTCCTCCTATTTTTATTGGTACCTTAACTTCTAAATCTGTTATATATACTTGTCCATCAAAATTTACATACTTATGTGGCTCAGTTTTATGAATTATTAGGCCTTTATTTCTAATCGAAGTTATATGACATTCACTAACTTCTGCATCTATTAATATATTTGGTTCATTTATATT